TAAGTCCGAACCTGAATTTTCCCCTGGGTCCAAATATCCATCTAAGTTTGAACTAGCACCTCGTTCTGAACTTGACCCGACTTGATCTACATCAGTATTGTTAAACAAAATAAGTTCGACCTTGTCTTGTAATGATATTTGAATTTTTTATTTCAAGATTAAGATTAAGTGAAAAATTAATATCATTAAAAGGATAGAAAAGTGTAATTACATAATAAATTATTTAAATATCATTATACAATTAGACTATGTATGAAATATTTTAAAATATAAGTTATATTTCAATTACAGAAGTGTAATCCGGCCATACGTTTAATTAACCCATAACTTTTTGATAGCTTGCTTACCAATTCACACGGTGGAAACAGAAACTTAAGAGTTATTTACAAAATATAATATTAAAAAAAATCCACATAAGTGAACTTTCCTGATCTTGAGTCTTTACGAGTTCAACTCTTTTTTTTTCTATTTTCTTTTTTTTTTTAAATTGTGTTTTCCTATTTTCTTTATTTCCTATTGCAGAGTACAAGTCTACAAACGCAAAAATTCTCTTCCCCACTCAAAGAAAAAAAAAAATAAATTCTCTCTTCTTTTTTCTTTTGTTCGTCACTTTCTGCCCCTTTTCTTAGGGTTATATTGCAGTTCTCTTCTCTACCCAATCTAAATCAGTAACTAATTTCCTATTAGTATTTTCTCGTTTTCTTTTTTCCTTTTTTTTTTTTTTTTTTAAAGAATACGGAGTACCGACATTACATAATTTCTGTTGCTAATTACAACAGATACAGATTTTATATTTGCTATCTCCAAACTTGTGAACTTATCTTCCTCAAGCTTTAAGGTATGTAAATTTAGAAATCTATTAACTTTTGTTTTGTTTTGTTTTTAATTTTTATTTTTATGATATTGTTTGAATATGCATAATATTGTTTTACCATGATATGCAAATAATTTAATAGGGTGTTAAATATTTATTTTTTTTAAATTGTATGTTGAACAGTTATGACGAAATATTTTAAAAGAATATTGGAGCTACCGTTCCCCGTAGGGAAGAACGACAATAATGCAAAATCAAGTAGAGAGGAATTTGACGGTTATAAACTTCCGGTAGATCCTGGGTTAAGAATTCCAATTTTGGATTACAATGTAAATATTTGGGATGATGTTCAAAGAGCATACTTGTTAAATGGTCCCCATTAGCCTAAAGATCATAAAATGCTCTATACACAATGTGGGAAAAAAAAATCAAGACGTTTTATCTGTGATTGGTTCAAAGAATATCCTAAATGGTTGTAATTCGAACCTTGCTTAATAAAATTGTCTTCTAAAATAAAATACTAGAAACATTACTTTATTTTATATTGTGTTAGTTATAAAATTTTATGCTTATTTGTGCCGCACTGGATTAAAAGTCTGGCTACGTCCCTGACCATCACTTTTGAGTAGAAATGATGAAATTTTTGGTTAGTACTTTCTTTTTTTAGTTTGTTTTGTTGTAAATTTAGTAAGTTTAAATGGATTTTGTGAGGTTAGTACTACGGTTTCTTTGAAATTAGTTTGTGTGATTGGTTTGGTCTATGAAACTGATGTTTATGAGATTAGTTTGGTTTAGCTGTAAATTATCAATTTGTGTGACTAGATTGTTGTTTGAATTGACGATTTTTGTTGAAAATTGATGTTTTCTGTTTAAATTCAATCTATCTGAGTTGACGATGTTTGTTTGAATTGAAAAGAGGACAAGTTAGACCTTGCGCTATGGTTTGCTATATCTTAAAAAAAATCAGATGGTAATACGCCAATCTAATCCTTCAGTAAGATTCAAGAAATTGGAGCATTGTAGGTTTTTTTGTTGCAATTGGATATTTCGAAGAAGGTACTTCTTATCTCAGTATAGCTAGTCCAAGCAATACTTGTTGATATATGGTAGACAAAATAATTACGCCAGTTTTGAGAGGAAAAGTCTTCTCTGTTCTCAACTTCACATTCTGTGGTTAGTTGATCAAACCTCTTCAGCTCTGAATATACCCGACTTAGATTTGCAGCAACTCAGCATTTTGGATATTATGTTTTATGGAGAACATTATGAAACCAAAAGGACATTCGAAGGGAAAAGATTAATGACAATAAGTATGAAAAATTCAATTAGGCTGAATTTTAGTTGTTTTTAAAGGGTAAAAACGTCATTTCAAGCATTGGATAAGTTGGGAGCATTTTCCAATGTATGGAGGGGTGTTTTTGGTTATATTGAGAAAATTAACAGTCAAACTTGGGTCAGTAGTCATGATCAACTAACAGAGTTGGTGTCTCTGCAATTTTTTTAAAAAAAGTTAGGAGATGTTGATGTGATTTGTTTTAATTAATTATGTGTCTCTATTAGTTTGATAAATCACAGAGGGGGTTTAATAAACTCAAAATGAAATTCCCAAAGAAATAATTGTTGTTTGGTTACCTTTGGGTAAAACAGGTTTGGATTTATGTGAAAAATTGGAATTGGTAGGTTGGTGTGAAAAATTTGAATTGGTGTGTTTGACGTGAATATTGGGAGAAAGAGGGAAATAGGCCAAAACTTGAGATGAATTAAAATTAATAGGCTAATAGTTTACATAAGTTAATAAATAGGCTAAATTACTGTTTTCGTCTATAACTTGTCTGGTTATGAACCATAACTTGACAAGTTATTGTTCATAATTGTCCTTAACTTGTCTGACTATGAACCATAACTTGACAAGTTTGTCCATAACTTATCTGGTTATGAATCATAACTTAACAAGTTATGACCTATTACTTTCTATAACTAAAAATTAATTTATATACTTTTTTAAGCTTTTCATATTGACATATTTTCTACTATTTTTCGTGAATATTTGACTTGGGTCAGCTTGGTTGTTGGGCTTTGTGAACTGATTTGGATCACTGGCCTTGCTCGGCTCTGAGAACGAGATATTTAGGAGGGATACCACAACTGTTTAGTGTGGATTGACTTGTGCCGGGAGGAGAAAAACTCTTCAAATTTCAGCTACGGCTAGTTAAAAAAAGAAACTGTGCAGACTAAGAGGCCGTTTGGTAGAAGGATTCATTCCTTGATTCGAATCATGATTCGTGGTTCGCTACAGTATTTTCTCTGACAAAAACTACGCGTAAATCGAAAATGATTCGAATCATATAGGGTCCGTTCACTTCGCTGATTCGAGTTTAGAATTCGAGTTTTTTTGCAGTAAAAAGCTCTCACAAACAATCACATCTAACTTTTTTGTTACAATAAAAAGCTCTCACATAAAGTCACATCTCAACTCGAATTTTAAACTCGAATCAGCGAAGTGAACGGGATCATAATTTAAATCCTCCACCCAAACATCCTCTAAAATACCCTAAGCTACTCTTCTCTCTCTCTCTCTCTCTCTCTCTCTCTAACCTGCTAGACTTCGTCGCCAGCCTGAGCCTCTATTGGAGATGATCTCCTCCCCTCTTCACCAGCATCAACAAAGCGCCGCTCGTCACTGGATATCTACAGTATTTGATTTGCGACGATGAATAAGGCAATCTCCACTCGGCAGCGGCAGACAGAATCTCGCGGTGCTCCGTACGGGGGTAAGAAGGTGGGTGCAGCGTCTCCATAGAGTCCATCTCGTTGTTGCGTCGCCGTCGGTATTGAGGATATTTGTTCACAAGGTAAGATCTGAAAATCACAACACTGTAGTATGTGAAGCACAACAGAGCATTGCTAAGGCTCGAAGATCTCCGATGAAGGAACTTGATCTCCCACAGTGGCAAGAAGATCTAAGATCTCTGAGGGAGGGCCTTGAGGCGGTATGGACTGCTCGTGGAGATCTGACATTTCTTGTGCCCAAGATGCGCGGATAAACCGACCACGCACGACAGCCACGGTGGTGGAGATCGTCTCCGGTGCTTGATGTCCGACTATTGTTTTGTTTTTTGATCTGTGAAATGTTTTTTTTATTTGTAATGTATTTTTTTTTTTTTTTGTTATTTTGATGGATTTTGTAACATTTTGTATGTTTATAGTATTATGGTAGTGGAAGTGCTAATGGTAATGGTGGATAGTGGCTGGTTTGATGACCGGACGCCTGTGTCGGTGTTGCAGTTGAATACTGGTCGGTATCACGATTGGGTACTGGTATTGTGGCCACGATTGGGTACTGGTATTGTGGCCGGATACCAGCCAGTATCTCAATGGAATACTGGTATGGTTGCCGGATATCTACTAGTATCCTAAGGGTATATTTAGAATTTTGAATATATTATGATATTTTTTGTAATAGTTTATATTTTTTGACATACGTCAATCCAAGTTTAAAATTTATTATATTTCCCTTTAAAGCCCTCTGAGAAATTATCTTGATCTATTTTAAAAAATAGAATTTATTGTCAAGATTTAGCCAATAGTTAGTCCAAATTCTTATAAGTAATATTTTTAAGTTTGGAGTCTTTTGGGCTACAGTTAGTATTCTTTGAATTTGCGCTCTTCTGGTTCGAATTTTTCGAAGATGCTCTTGAGGTTTTACTTTGGAATTAGAATTAAAAAGGTTTTCCCTTTTATTAAGAAATTGTAATTAAGAGATTATTCTTATAATTTTAAATGAGTCGAATTAAAAATAATAAATTCTTATGCTAATTAAATTATAATATAGGTGAAATTATATTGTGCGTGAAATATTATTATTAATACTTTTTCTCAATATCACTCACGTCTTATAGGTGGGGAAGAAGGAGCATATATCATAGAAAACGTGAATCTAAGGAAGGACAAACATATGCGACTAAAATAGGAAATAGTAGAAGATACATATAAAGATACAGACCACTAAGTAACAGATCCTGGCATATATACAAAACTATAATACATGAAAGAGTTCTGCTAAACAGGTTCGCGGAGCTGCAGTTCCCCACGTACATATAAAGATACAGACCATTAAGTGACATATCCTGAAATAAAAACTATAATGCCTGAAAGGCTCCGCACACACGTACAAGCTGGCACTTAGTTACTTATGAAGCACATGATTCTTGCCTTTCCCTGACAAAGGTCTGGAGACAAATGTAGAATCCCACAATTTCCATAGAAGTTGGTACAGTTGTACGAGAATAACTAAAGCAACTGGAATAGATATACCCATAAAAGTCAGAGTAGGAACCCACTTTAGTCCATCACGAGGAAGAGACACGGAGAACCTTCCAATGAATGCTGCCATCATGCTTGACATAGAGACGAAAAGTGTAGCAAGTCCGACTACTAGCTTCAAGGGTAGCAAACAAAGGAAATCCTTTTTCCCGTAATTTGATGTGAGAATGGAGAAGAACACTAGGGTTGATATTGAAGATGAAACTAATGCTACTGATTCGGATACGTTGAGAACGTCCGATGAAACCGGAGTTCTTTCTTTAATATTGTTTATAGCATGGAAGGCCGCTGTAATAACTAGAGTGGTAAGAAGCAGGGAAACCAACATGCATGATGTAGCTGTACTTTTCATCCAATTCTCTCCATCTTTAAGCATTGTGGCATGTTCTAAAGTGAATAAATCTTGAGGGGTTAAGCCATTAGAATTTTTCTTTTCTGCGTAAGATGGTAGCATGATCTTCTTCACAGCCTGCAAAATTAAGTATTCAAATCGAAGATTAATTACCAATCTGTTGGATTCACAGGAATGCGGGGAACTGAATTTATAGCTATATGTAAAGGGTTTACCTCAAACCATAATAACTCCTGTTGTAATTGCAACATTCCTCCAACCTCAGGGTTCAATCTATGTTTAGGCGGTAATGTCGCAGCGAGGTGTGAAATATTGTTATTCTCACCATCTTCGTAGGTTAATATGATTTCTTTGACGGAGCCAGTCTCATGTATTAGATTGAAGATGTTTGCATGACGATTTAACACGCCAACATGGAAGATGGTTTGGTTTTTCTCATCCACTTCCCATACCAGATCAGGGTAAGAGTGAATAAGCTCCGCCAAAAATTGAAAGTTCCCTAATTCGGCCGCTTCAAATAAAAATCTTGATGGTTTGTCAATAAGTTGCTTTACCTCCAAGTCAGGTAAAGAAACCAAAATTTCTTTCCATATGCCTCTCGTAAGTTTAAGGGCATCGCTCTCTACAGAATTTGTATGGTATGAGGATGTCAAACCTAGGATGATGGAGTTAAATCAGTACTAAATACAACTTCTATTATTGATGTAGTGAGATTTTATTGATGTAGTGAGAATTCTTTATAACATGGCTTCGCTACACCGTAGCCTATGCTAGCTTATTAGGCAAGTGGAAACATTAGAAATCCAAATTGTCTACACGGAATATTTGCATCTGTTAATTTGCCATACTAACAGTCTAATACCTTTCTAAATATAAAACAAAACAGGAAAAAACAAAAAAGGGGGTAGTAGAAAGAAACATACTTCTGTTAAAGTAGCTCTTGCATAAGCTTGTATTTCGCTTAAAAAATGCCAATGGCTTTCGAGCTAAGACATGCAGCGCTGTCTCACCATTTACGTCACGCGCGATGGCCAGTGCACTGTTGTCGTCAAGCATTTTCAAGGCTAAACCTATATATAGATGCGGTCCAATATCCATAAAGACTAAAGTTAGAAAATTGTAGCTTATATAGCAGTATGTTAAAAGTAATAGAGATAATTAACTAGTAAGGAGAACTATTAATGGTCACTAAAAGCGAGCGGGCCGGCAGTATTCAAATCAGAGTGTCCACAACTATATATAGTAATGCTTACCGTGCAAATCAGAATGGATACAAGCGAAAAATGTGTCCATCCATTCCTGTTGGCTTAGTGGCTTGTTTCCCCGCCCGCCCGGAATCAGTGGCAACTCAGTATTTTTTTCCATCCAAATCATAACAATTTCTACACTTCCAGATACAACAGCTAAGCAAAAGGCGGTGTTCCCATTGCAATCTTGCAATTCCACCTCTGCTTCGTCCATCAAATCCAACAATTGCTTCACAAAATGAACATCTTTCGCTCCTGCGGCCACGTGAAGAACAGTTTCTCCTGCTATTGTAATAGCCGCATGTAATATTTTCTTGTCTTCCATGATGATTGTTTGAGCGGCTGTCCAGTCACCCCTCAATGCAGCTCTGTATAGGGGAACCCCTGCATGTAGATATTGTTGTCTTGCCTCTCCTGCGTAAAATTTTGAAAATATTTATGTAAAATATTGTTCGTTCATTTCGTCAAGCGCCGCATCACAAATTCTTTTACTATGTCCCCCTTTTTTTTTATAATTATTTATAAAAATTTACATTCACTTAAACTAGAGTTACTCGTTCTATCTTTCAAATTAATCGGTTTACACATGAAACGATGTTCAGTACTAAATAGGATGATCAGAAATTTTTTTCGACCTGATTTATATTAATTTACTATCTTGACCGTGACAACAAGAAATACTCCAAACTACTCTATGCTCTCAGTAACATAATTTGAGTGCCAAACCGGTAGTTTTCTCTCAAGAGTTGACCGGTGAATTTCAAAAACCTCAGACTCGATTGGTTCTTGACCTTGATGATACATAATTTAGTATCAGGTATTAATTTACCGCTCCTTTAGTGAATACAAGGATACGTTACTATATGCTCTGTGAGCTCTACTGGAGGGAGCTAACATGTTCGTCTTCGGCGACGGTCTCTCAGGAGCCGCCGTCATGGGGAGTGATGAAACTCAACATGGATGCAGCCTTTTAAGGATGGTTTTGGTGTGGTGGCTCGAGACTATATTATTGTTGACTGTCTAGCTGAGTGCCTGAGGCAGAAATGATGGAAATCGAGTTTTCCTTCGTTTGGAGGCATATTGTCATCAAAACTTAATATCCGTTCGGTTCGCTAATTTGAGTTTTTAATTCGAGTTGAGATGTAATGTTGTGTGAGAGCTTTTTACTGTAGCAAAAAAGTTAGATGTGAGTGTTTCTGAGAACTTTTTATTGTAGCAAAACTCGAATTCTAAACTCGAATCAGCGAAAAGAACGGGACCTTAAGCATTGAAACACTTATTTAACGCTAATTAAAGCACGAACCATGACCTTTCTCTTCTAAAGTCATTAGTTTTGAAAAAAGCTCGTAGTTCTTTAATTTAATTTGTATTGTAATTTCTTCAATGCTATTAGTTTTGAGTCTTTAGTTGCAATTTTTTCTTCTTCACTTTTCCATATTTTCTGCGAATGATTAAATTTTAAAAGATGTTATTTTTCTGACATTAATTTGTATCAATTAATAGATTAATAGATTTCTATTTTATTTTATTTTTTGCATAGTATATTGACTTATGTTTAACGCTACCTAAGTCCCATTTTAGCCTTTTCTTGTTATGTTTTTCATGTGTTAAACACTATTAAGTAGTTTCCTAGAATTCTTAGGTATACTGTATACTGAACTTCAATCCACGATCAACATCGGTAGAGAAATTCTTTTGCTAGTTCCACAAGTATTGAGAATCACGTATCAGAACACTGTTAAAGAGAAAATATATAGATATACACACACATATATATATATATATATTTCGTAGTGGCCTTTATTTAATGCGTTGTGTTCCCCGTTTTCAGCTTAATAATAGAACTTTATTCAAGAATAAAATAAAATAAACCTTATTAGCTATCTTGGAATGGGCAAGAATTAGTCTTTTATAGCTATATATGTTTTTCAAAAAGGAAGAAAGAGAGCGAAAGGAGGGTAAGAGACTAGAGAGGCTTGTATATTGTCAAGGGATGTCCAGCTTGTTTTGGGATTCTTTCTTTTTCTTTTTATTTTTGTCTTTGACAACAAAGGAAAACGGTTCTTTCAAGTAGAGTTGACAGATTTATAACTTACTGGAATCTTCCAGTAGGTAGGGCAAAGGCTTCCTGTGCTGATCTACTACGTTCGCATGCTGTTCTGGTCCCGGATCTTGCAATTTGCTTGGTCCGACATCTTCGGTTCCCATTTCTATGGTCTTTTAGAGGAAATTCTACATAGAAACTGATGTATCAAAGACATTTGAAGGAAAAAAAAGAAAAACAAAAACCAAAACAAAAACCAAAAATCAAAACTAAAAAACAAGCACAAACAAAACACTTTTCAAATAAACACTTGCACCCGGCAAAAGGTACATTTTTTAAGACTTTGATACCTGAATCATAATTTATAATTTTACCCAGGTCCCAGAGCGTCG